TGACTGACATGCATTTTGAAGCGGCACAAACTAGTGGGAATGACAACCGTGCAAAAAAAGAAGTGATTACAGGGGAATAATGAAAAGATCCACTTTCATAGTGGGAAGGACAGACCTTTTGGAATCGATTCATTGACATGGAGCGAAGGTGAATCGCAAACCGGTTTAAATGTAAGTGGGAATGAGCCCTTTGGAGGTTTTTAAACAGAGGCTGGTTCTGAGTTCCTGCATGGCAGAAGGGGGGTTTGGATTGGATGAGCTTGGGGTCTCTTCCAACTCTGAGTTTATGATTCTATGATAAGCTCTTTCCATGATCTGTCTGACAAAAAAAAAAAAATACTTTGTTTAAGCAAATTCTTTATTTGTGTATGGGTCATTTTAGAGGTTATTATGAAGGAGCACCCAGTGTCCTGATCTCAGCAGCATAGCCGCAGGGAAAACCATTTTCTTGCAACCATTTCCTCTTGGCTTTCATTGTGATTCATTGTGCAGAGTCTGAACTATGTGCCATTTAGTGGCAGCTTGTTCTTGGTGTGTATGTGTGTGTATGTGTGCTATCTGACTCCTGGCCATGTTTCTCAGACTGTTTGAATTGGTCATTCCATCCCCCTCCCTAACCAAGTGCCTGAACATTTTGGTCAGTGGTTAAGAACCTGAAGAGTCTACTATTTTATTTTATTTATGTGTGAGCTGCTTCATAAGCTAACTTTTGCTATAAGTTAAAATTATTATAGTTGTATGCATATGTGAATTAGGAGAGGTGCACATATATTTCCTGGGGCCATTCTTTAATGGCACCCAGTAGTTGTCCAGCTGGGCCAAATGGCCCAGGTTCCCTCTGGCCTCATGTTGTCTAGTGCAGACAACATAAGCAACCCCCCCCCCCCAAATCCTGGGCAAGAGCGGGCCTGATCCTGCCAGTGCAGACACAGATCTAGAGGGACCGGTCTGACCCTAGGGTAAAGAGCCTTTACCCCAGGGTAAAAATAGCGCTGGTTTTCCATGGAGTTTCTAAGACCCGTGTTGTTCAGAAGCCCCCTCCCCATTATCTTTCCAGTGGTGGATTCAACTGAAAAGCCCCCCCTCAGTTGCCCAGTCTGATGCAGAAACAGAATACCTTCTCCAACTGAGAAGCCCCTCAGTCACCACATCTGACACAGAAACAGAGCAATTGGCTGCACTCACATGGGCAGTTAAAGTGGTCTCAAACTGGATTATTTCTGCAGTGTGTTTTGGACCAAGAACGCCAAAGTCCATCTGCCTAGTGGCAGAGCCCCGGCTCAGTGAAGATCTATTTCCCTCTTGATTTCCCTAAGATTTCCTTCTATTCTTTCCCAGATACCTGTCTAAAAATAAAAATTAGCACCCTAGTTTGTCTTAAGCCTTTGGCTGTTTCCTCCATTCCATCCTCCATTAATGTGCTTCATGAGAGCATGGCTCTGGAATCCTTCTCAGCCCTCTGCAAGGAAAATATCTCTGGCATTTTCAGTCATGAGGGCTGAGAATGGGGCTGTTTCCTGGTCATGCCCTCCATATGGGGAACTTACACAGGTACTGAAGGCTCTTCTTCTCCGACTTCCCACCAATGTGAGGACAGTGGGAAGTGGGGGCAAGAGAAGACATGATGGCAGGGCAGAGTGCAGCTGGCACATACGGCTTCTTGTTCTTCCCTCCATCACACAATTGTAGTCACCTGAACTGGATTTGTGTAGGACACATAACCTGGAAAAAATATTCTCCCTCTCTTTCTCTTTTGGACATCTCTTGGTTTTAGCTTTGGGAGATCTAGTCTAAAAAAGCCAGTGTGGTGTAGTCGTTTGAGTGCTTGGACTAGGACACTGGGCGACCAGGGTTCAAATCACCACTCAGCCAT